TTAGCCTGAAGTTCTGGTGGTAGTACCTCGTAATGTATAGATACGCTTAGCACATCTGGCTCATATACCACAGGTGTAGCGCTCGAGTCTTTACGTTCTTCAGGCGTAATTGCCTGTCGACGTTCTGTCCACTTCTGTAGGGCTTCAGTAATGCCCGGAGAAACATGCTCGCGTAGTTGCTGTTTATGTTTTCCTGATCTATACAATCGATCTACATGTTCAACAGTCAAGTCTTTCTTAAGGATTGCTAACTGATTCTTAAGATCAGTGTTTTCAGTAATTAACTTACTTATGCGCGTTGGCTTAGTAGTCTCGGACGTAGATTCGGGTTTGCTACTTGAGCTTGCCTCCTCTTCTGGTTCCATTATAGGTTCCTTCTGAGATTTGTCTTTGTCGCCTATAATTGGGGACCCCCTTATAATTGAGAACTTTTCTTTCTGAGTTTCGTCAGAAGAATGGGTTGGGGCGTCTTGAGACGTGTCCCTTGTCTCACTTCTTGGCTTCGTAAATGCAAGCTTTGAAGTTGAGGCAATAGTTGGCCCTCGGGCTCTATCAGTGAGAGTAGTCTCCTTAATCGGAGTGGCTACATCCTTATCTGAAGCATTGTCCTGTTGACTATTATTGTCAGAGGCAAGTACTTCGGCTACAGTGCGGTTAAACGCATCAGCAGCGGCAGCGTCCATCTTCTTCTTTTCAGCTCTACGCTTCTTAGAAGGAGTTTTGTCTTTTTTGGTCATAATCTTAACTTATGACTACTAGCTTGTCTCTTAAGGACTAGCTTGGACAAGAAAATTTTGTGGTAGTTAACACCACTACGTTTAAGTAGTCTTAGTAATTAATACCTTTGCTAACTTTAAAATGTGTAAGATTCGGTCTATTAAGGCGATATTAACGCCTTAGAGTAAATAAACGCGTAGGTAAATTTTAAGTATCGTGAAAATATCAAAGTAAATAAACGAAATGAGACTTTTAGTAAAGTTAGGTATGCCTCGTGAAAATAGCAATACTCTGAGGGATTGTGAGGCTGAGACATTGCCTATATATAATCCTCTCAGTACTGTTTCCGCCGAAGGGATTTTATTTAGTGTTTCGTTGTCGCTCTATTAGAAACTATTGTATGTTTCATTGGGGCGAATTTGAGAGACTCATAAAATTATATCTTTAGAAAATAAAAATAAAAATAAAAATACTCTTGATGTCCTTAGTTATTGTCTTAGCCAATAAGTTGCCACTTATCAAGAATTACCGACTTAGCTTTCATCAGACTGGCACATCTGGTTGGCTGATCGGAGGATCAACTAGGTAACGTTTATTGTCACTAGAAACCTATATTCGGTTGAGCCATCTCGCTACCGAAGTATTCAGATATAAATAAAGTTGGAAAGTAAATATAGTACTATTAATAGAACTAGACCAACTCTTATGTTTGGTATTTTACTGGGGCCTTTAATGGCCTCATCCAAATATCTGATATGTAAAATGGAAAAGGTATTAATTAATAAAACCATTAAGACCCGTTTAGGAAACTTAAGTTCCTCGTACTATTAAGAGTACGTTTATAGTTTACGTACTGCTTAAGAGTACGTTTATAACATGGAGTCTAATGTGGAGGCCCGGCTATTACATACACGCATACATTCATTGTATGCATGCTTGCACACATGCATTATGACCTAGCTGATTCCCCATGATTAATCGTATCAAAAATATTAATGCTGTTATGTTAGTGCAGGTGCAAGTAGAGGAAATATTTAAAAGCATATTTTCATGCACGCTTGCTCTCACACACGTGCATGCATGTATGCATGCGAACTATTTATGTTATATTTTGTTGAAAAAATTGTGGTATTTCCTGATTCCAATTCTCACGCGTTGACTTGGGGATTGCTTATCCCCTACGCTTAATATACATATAAACGCTTAGTCGCTTGACCTCCTGCCGTTTTCGATTTTGGCGAAGGGTCGGTGAACAGATTACACGGTGGTAGGTTCGTCTTTGTTCATAGCGGAATAATACAGCAACTCGCGTCCCACTGCTGCCATCGTGTCATCACCATGTTCGGCATCGTTAAGACGCTGAAACATCAAACCCATAACTCTAGTAGGAAATCTGTTTGACCATTGGAGTCTGCTTTGTGGTATACTCCGCCCATTCTAATACGTGCCATACTTCTTGCTCAAATGGTATTTGAATTTGTAAGGTTTTATACACCCTGGTAGTTCTGGACCGGCAGTACCATCCGCATCATCGCCGTCTCCGTTGCTATCATCATCGTCAGAAGTGTTCTTACTCATGCCCTTTCCAATGGTGTCGGAGTCGAAGTTGTCCACATAGGAAAGTAAATGATAGGGAAGTTAATGAACTTTCAGACGGGTCGAAGTACGCCTGATTGAACAAAGGTGCGCCTAAGTGTTGACAAACGGGCACAATGTTGTGTCTGCACGGAATCTTGAATTGATTTCCAATCTCCACAAGTGCATAAGTATTTGAGGTAATATCGTAGGTAAGCGAGAGAGGGGCGCCTATTTAGTGAAAGAGAGAGGAGCGTATAAGCGGTGAACGAGAGCGTATATAGAAATACGTCTACTTCTATAGTCTCTCAGTAAACGAGAAAGGGCCGCATAAGCGCATAAGTGGTGAACGATTACCTGTCTCCTGTCCATAAAACGGTTCGGGACACTTGTAGGACGCGAAATCATTCGCCAGTTTGTCCATGGAATGCACATAATGAGATCTAGCCTTATTAACCTCTGTTGAAAAATGCTCGATACATAGTTGAGTGCCCCACTGTCGGTACTGTGCGATTTGAATAGATTCGTTGAATCTAGGCTTGCCGCCTTCGCCCCACCACCCCCCCCCTACATTGTAGATCATGGCATGCTTAATTTTTGCTAGTTTAGTGTGTATACGCATTTGACTAGCGATTTCACATATGCCATTGAAAAGTCTAGGCATTATATGACTTGAACCAAACTTCTAGTTGTGAGTTTGAAAATTCACTCATCTGTGTCCCTTTAAGTCCCATTGTCGACTTGTCAGCTAGACCCAAGTAGATTTGACTAGATTGCTTCATCTTATTCAAGAATCTCATCCCTGTAGCAGCATTCTTTCTTGTAAGTATACCAATGGCTGAAATATCAAGGTGATGATCACATAGGTGTTGCATTGTTGCGTGCATAGCTTTGTCCAACGCCTCCTTCACCCTCCCACTGTGGTACCTACCAAGATTCGTACTAATAGTCTGCCGTGTATGGTACCTGTCAGCGAAACAAAGTTGGCCCTCTCTAACGTCTGACTGACTTAAAAACCCAATTGGCAAAAACTAACTCAGTTTTCAACGGCGCCCCCAAGAGAATCTAATGCAAACGTATATATTTCCTTCGTCTCTATATAGAACAGCATTGCACCGAGGTACTTGATTTTTCCGTCGTTGCCCGGCCCTATCAATATAGATATCCGCCACCCACGCTCGTTGTTCCTACCCCTTATGGCGGGCATCCATACTGATTATACGACTTTTAGTCATCCAAAGAACACATTTCAAAACGTTGGTCGCTTTGTCGCGCAGAGTTCATACATACAGAACAGATTAGAAACTAAGGGCTGCACCAACTTGAAGAAGTTGAGAAGTCGCTTCTGAGGTGAGGATTAGAGGTAAAGAGTAGAGGCAAGCATTAGAGGGGAGCATTAAAAGAAAACATTAGAATGGTTACAATAGATTAGAAGTGTTATTTTAATGGATTTTAACTATAAAATACTTGCGTATTCACCGCTTCTTCACATTCCGTCATTTTCACAAACTCCTCGGTGCACTTCCTCACCAGGTGCGAAAGTGCTGGACCTCTTGTTTATATAAGATGGCAAGGTCTTAACGTCGTCAAAGAGTTGCTGGCTCATCTTAAATCTTATTGCGTGTTTGATTGCGTTCTGAATATGAATGGAAAACTATGTAAGTTCCTATTTAGCGCGTTACATGTAATCTAAGCAAATTATGGTGTATTATAAAACAAATCAATCCGACAAAAGACTCACAGTAGAACTTACGACTCTGATGTTATGTATAGTATGGGCTGTAACGGATAGTTCCGTTAAATACAGCGACAGTATGTATTTTTGGAACTCGTTCGTCGAACATTTCCGCAAGGCCATGGTAACTGGGACGCTCTTCGTCTGTAAATATATAATTGTTAATGAATTGTATTAGAGTTCATCTCTTTTGCACATCTCTCTCGCCCACCTTTCTCGCACACCTCTGTTGGGCACCTTTATAGTCCACATAAAATATTCTTTTTCTGAACAACTTAGATACTTACCTCACTTCCGAAGCTGTCCCGTTTGAACAGTTTTCCACTGGCTGCAAAGGATACAGTTGCTTGCTCATCACTGGGATTGCATCCATCAGTGTGTATTAGATGATGCGCGTTTGGCGAGACCCAACCTTCATATTTTAACCAATCCTAGATGGAGTTTGCCTAAAACCTGGCGGTACGTCCGTGTGCACAAAGTTCAATACTAAGTTAGTCATAGCAGTGGCGTGCGATAATGCTAGGCTTAACAGCGGTAGCCCGACAATGCTTCAAATAACAGCGGTGCGCGACAATGCTTCAAATAACAGCGGGGGGTGAGAGTGGGGCGCATATTTTGCCCGGGTAGGCGAGAATGCTAGACTAGCTTAACTTAAATTTGCAACCACATTTTATGGAATGCCTAGTGTGGTGAGCTGGAGCTCGGTCAGTTTCCTGCTTTACTTTCCTTCTCCTCACCTCTTTGCGCCTCTCTAGTTTTGCGGTGATACCGCTTCTATTGCAACTCAATACCCCTTTCCCTCGCTTCAAATCTGCGCCACTACATAGCACCACTCCCATTTTGGAAGCAAGAGTATCGCAAAACAACTTTGCCTGAGCATAGCTTTGAAATATTCTATCTGGATGCAGTTCTTTCTCCCAGATACATCCCTTTACAATGTTCTCAGGTGTATGTTCGTACTCGTGTTCGCGTCTTATTGGTCCAATTCTTTATTGAGTACCAATTTTGGCAGACCGCGTTCGTCAGGTATGTTGTCTCCAGTCTCATCACTGTCACCGCCATTGCTACTACTATTATCCTCGACCTCTGTGTTGTGTTCGCTGTCGGAGCTTTTATCCCAGTCGAAGTTGTCCCCACTGCTTGTGTGCACTATTTCGTCACCGAAATCTGTCATATCAATACCATCAGCATTCTCATTCTGCTTTTTCTCGGTGGAATTGTTGGCCTCCAATTTCTGTCTACGTCTTTCACGCTTTTGTAAGATACCTTGAGCTTCTTGGTTTACATCAGCGGAATTTTTAGCTGAGGGTAAGCTCTCCGGATCAGAACCCAATCCTTCCGGCCTAGGCAATCGATTGGTGAAGGATTTTTTTGAGCTTTGTTTTATTGCTGTCCTTTGACAAAGCCTCCTCTACTGTTGTCTTTAGGCGCTCTTTTGCATCCGGTTCAGTGACATCCACGATGGTACCCATTGATCCCTTAGGGCAATGCTCATTTTCCGATCTATGACCACAGATTAAGATAAATATATACAGATAGATTAAGATGTGGTGTTTTTGGGTTTTTCTTAATTCGGAATAAAGTATGTGGATTTCTGATAATCCAATTCTTAATTAGTTCTTAATTCTGAGTAAATTATGTACAGTTCTTAATGATTCAATATTCTTAATTCACATAGGAGGAGTTGGATACTGTTGTTCTAAATTACACATCTGAGATGTATATTTAATTTATATGAATTGTCAATTCGACATTAGACTCTTGATTGTCGACGATTTGGATGTTAAGACATATAGAACTTTGTAATATTTGTAAGTAGAGTAACTTTATTTTACCCTATCTGGAGGGTTTTATATGCACGTACACTTTCTAGACATGTGTGTTCAAATGTAAGTGTTTTAGACCTGACTTATTTTGGTGAGCATATTTGACACCTTTGACAGCTGTCACTTGGCAGTTCCTGGGGTGTACTATCCTTGGTATCGAACTGTAGTTGTATTCTAGATTGATGACAGTGTTATTTTTGCTCAAACAATGGGTAGTACCGAGGGTGAAATATTTACCGAGGCTGTCAGCACTTCAACTGAAAAATTCAAAACAGCAATCGAGAGTAAGCAATCGAATTCCAAAAATCTCAAGGGACAGCTATTAACGTCGATTGTACACACGTTAGTACACATCGTGCATCGAAATATAGTTACTTAAAAGTATATCAAGGTTTGACTAAGGAACAAAAACTTGATTTCGCTTGTTTTGTAGCTTAGAGCGCAATAAGGTTATTGCCGTAACGGTCTTGAAAGCTGCTTTTGTGACGTTCTACTTCATATTCGCATTCTAATACTGCAATGATGTCAGAACACTTTAAAAGTACTCGAGAGCTTTTTCTGTTAATATATGAAGGTTGCATCATCGTAATCTGTATCCTCGTGAATGTCAAAATTTCATCTCTAACGGTACTTTGCTGAGAACCACAATACTATCATGGTATATTGGACCTTCATTATATTCTACATGATCCAGATAACGTGCAAATGCAAGTCGCATTTCAAATTCGAACAATAACATTCCAGTTGCTCTTTACATCGTAGGTACCATATACCAACGCCGTACCTCGCCGAGGGTATAAAATAGGATGCTCATACCTGGTAGCACAGCTGTGTTTGGTGTGACTGGCGCACAAATGGCACGCTGCTGCTCGTTGATATCGGTACTCTTCTGAGTGTTTGGTGGTTTTCAAACATACGTTGGCACGAAAATCTCAGTGAAGTATCTACGTCCGCCACGTATGCGCACTGTGTGCGATAATTTAAAATGCTTTGTATAGAATAGTCGCTTGTTAGACCAGAAACTATTGTTGAACCGACCTTTCCGTGAAAAATTGTCGAATGGTTTCAAATGTATTACCCATTCGCGTCGTTGGGCTTCGTTTTTAGGCCATTCTAATAACCTAGATCGGTTTTTACACCTTAGAACTGTGCAAACACCGGGCATTCTAATATTATTATATCTTCTATTTTTGAATATGTTTTCATTCATGACTTTGATAGAGTGTTTTATAAACTGTTGTAAATTTCGGTCTCTTAAGGCGATATTAACGTCTTAGAGTAGTTAAACGTAATGAAATCTTCTAAAGCTCAGGTGAAATTAACGTAAATAACCGTAATTTGTCTTTTAGTAAAGTTAGGTTTGCCTCGTGAAAACAGCAATACTCTGAGGGATTGTGAAGCTGAGACATTGCCTATACATAATCCTCTCAGTATTGTTTTCGCCGAAGGGATTTTATTTAGTGTTTCGTTGTCGCTCTAATAGAAACCATGGTATGTTTCGTTGGGGCGAATCCGAGAGACTCATAAAATTCTATCTTTAGAAAAAAAGGAAAAAAGGAAAAGAAAAATACTCTTGATGTCCATAGCTATTGCATTAACCAATAACTTGCCACTTATCAAGAATTACCGACCTAGCCTTCATCAGACTGGCATTTCTGGTTGGCTGAACGGAGGATAAACTAAGCAACGCTAATAGTCCTTAGAAACATATGTTCGGTTGAGCCATCTCGCTACCGAAGTATTCAGATATAAATAGATTTGGAAGGTTAATATAGTTCTATTAATAGAACTAGACCAAATCTTATATTTGGTATTTTACTGGGGCCTTTTAATGGACTTGTTCAAATATCTGATATGTAAAATTTGAAAAGGTATTTAATTAATAAAAACCGTTAAAACTTATATACGTTTTACGTACTATTAAGAGTAAGTTTGTATTACAAGATTCTAATGTGGAGGCCCGGCTTTTACACTGTGAACTACAGATTCGCAGAAAACTTGACCGAACATATGTCAAGTGATTGAAATGAATATGTGTGAAATTGTAATTCAGAATTGTGCTGATGTAAAAGAAGATAGTAGTAAGTAGATACCAAATATATAATTGGTAGACCATAGAGCTACCTTTTTAGAAAAAGTTGACCGTTGAAATCACACTTCTTCGGCCATGATGCGTTCAATTATGTATACATAACTTGCCACCCTGCTAGAACTATTCATTCCGCACCCGTATGTACGATTTGGACACACTTTGAGGTATGTAAGTCGATTTAGAACGATATCAAACAAAGACGGAGTTAGGGTGCATCGTGCATTTCTGCACACTTTTGTCGTGACAGAATGATATCGACACGTCGTCACTTTCACTCCTTCAGAATATCTATAAAGTCGCTAAATGTACATTCACCCATTTTACCGATGAAAACCCAAAATTAGTATCACAGTTGTTTTATGTTGTTCTGAATTTTCCCACGGTTTTTTTCATTCGCAATGTCAAATCATATGCAGTTTGTGCAAGTTTTTTTTACTTGTTTCACGAAATATTTCTATTTCATTCATAATCTTCTTCAAAATGTATACAGTTCGTATGGAAAATACTCGCATTGGTACAATACATATACAGAGTTTCTGTATTGTTGCACACTATTTTGGCTCGTTTTTTTTCTTCAGTTTGTACCCGTTGTATTGTCTCGATTATTTTGCGAAATGAAATCGTTCTGGCCAGTTTTCTAACTCGTTATGTACGGAGTAATCCAAGCTGAAAATTCACTCTCGAGTGCCAAAACGCAAAAGTGCCGACTCCTGCAGCTAGTTAGAAAACTAGCCAGAACTATTTCATTTCGAGAAAAAAATATCAATATTAAAACTCGTGCAAATTAAAAACTCGCCAAAATAATTTGCAACAATTTGAAAACTGTTGATTGCTACCCATGTATTGGTCTGCAGTATCGAACCAATAAGATTAGAAATGATCACATTTTAATATTTCACCATACTGTTTCCGGTACTATAAGATTGTACAATTACATTGGGATGCACACGCAAACTAGTAGTATGTAATGTAATGATAACGTACACATATAACCCTTTTTATGCTTATAAGCACGACGACTTCGTGTAAAATCGTTGAAAAAGACGTTCTCGTCACCAATGATCTTCAATAGTCTTTTTTTTTTTGAATAGCATACACAAAATAGTCTATGAATTGTAGTCGAAACTCGTATTAACTATTGTTATGAGGTAGAATAGAGACTGGGCAGTGTAGAAAACACTTTCAAATTCGAAAAAGGTTGGGGCTAATGATACGTTTCTTCCGTTTCTTCCATTCATCCTCCTCCCCCCTGTACTCCTGGTAAATAAGGGAATTGGAACGTGATAAGAATGAATTTTCTTCTCCAACACCCCTTCAAGAATATGCACCGTGCACTGCAACATGTCTATCCTTCATGAGTCTGTCCATCTAAAAGGCGGTCATTGCTTCCACTTTTTTGAAGCTCTTTCGGGGGCGGGGTTTCATATAGGCGTAGCAGAATAAGCAGTTTTTATAAATGGGGATAATGCTATTCAGTTCAATTTGGGTAAATTATTATATGTCTACATGCACATCAGGCCTCATATTCGTTGGAGAAGTTCAGGGAAGATTGAAGGGAAGTTAAAATCGTCGAATTGCCGCGAAAATCTCGGGGCGAGTGATGCAACGAAAGACATACGGTGCGTTAATTCGCGATGATAAATACATAGCATCTCTACCATTGGGTGGAAGCTAAAACCTGTGTGCCGTTGTGTGGATGTAGTCGTAATATGGGCTGAGTCAGTCTGAGTACTTTTGAACGTGATACCAAGAAGGGTAAGGCTTTTATCCGTACAAATGTAGTAGCTTTAGTAATTGACAACTGTAGTAGCTATAGTAGTTGATAATATTAGTAGCTATAGTAGTTGACAATTGTAGTAGCCATAGTAGTTGACAACTGTAGTAGCTATCGTAGTTGACAACTGTAGTAACTGTAGTAGTTAACAACTTCTCAAGTAATTGACAACTGTAGTAACTATATTGGTTGACAAGGCTATATTAGTTGACAACTGTAGTAGCTATCGTAGTTGGCAACTGTAGTAGCTATCGTAGTTGGCAACTGTAGTAGCTATAGTAGTTAACAACTATAGTAGCTATAGTAGTTGACAACTTTAGCAGCTAAAGTAATTGACAACTGTAGTGGCTATATTGATTGACAAGGCTATGTTAGTAGACAACTGTAGTAGCTATACTGGTCGAAAACTTTAGTGGCTATAGTAGTTGAAAACTGTGGTAGCTATCGTAGTTGACAACTGTAGTAGCTATAGCAGTTGACAACTGTAGTAACTGTAGTAGGTGATAGATTAGTAGTTATAGTGTAGTTGATAACTGTAGTAGCTATATTGGTTGACAAATCTATAGTAGTTGACAACTGTAGTAGCTATAATAGTTGACAGCTTTAGTAGCTCTAGTAGTTGACAACTTTAATAGCTATAGTAGTCGATAACTGTAGTAGCTTAGTAGTTGACAACTGTATTAGCATCAGTAGTTGACAACTGTAGTAGCTTTAGTAGTTGACACTAGCAGTACTTTTGGTTGACAGCTCTAGTGACTATACTTTTAGTTGAGTAGTTGTGGCTGTTGAGATATTGCCAGATGTCTACAATAGTAGCCTGTTTAACATATAGCCCTGAGTATGGGAAAGCTAACTTCTAGTAGTAGTACCTAATTAAAACTTGGGATTTCGTTTAAAACTAACCTAGTTAAGTAAACTGAACAACTTGCAAAACTCGCGTACTACATTTACTTGTGTTGCTGGGGCTATGGAGATATTGTTAGATATTTCATACATTAACTTATATAGCATATAGTCTGAGTATAGGTAAAATATTTTCTAGTAAAAGTACTTAGCTAAAACTTTGGATCCCGTATAAACTAACTTATTTAATTAAACTGAACAATTCACAGAACTCGCGTGTAGCATTTTGTTGCGTTGCTGCGGTTGTGGAGATATTGCTAAATATTTCCTTTAATAACTTATCTGGCAAATAGCTCTCAGTATGGGTAAACAATTTTTAGTAAAGGAACCTTGCTGAAGCTTGAGTTTCCGTTTCAATAAACGTAATATTGCTAGATATTTCGTGAACTTCAATTCATTCATTTTCACTTCTCAGATCGAGTGGATATACCAACTAAGTAGTCTTTGATAACAGAATTTGTTCATACATGAATGTGAATAATAAGCTCATATGACCCAATCCTCTAGTGTAGACACAGTCTTCGAGGGCTCTCTCTAGACAGGGGCATTCATTTCTGTCCTCGCGCATATGGATTGGTAAAACTTCTTGTTTGCACGTGGAACTACCATCTTCTCTGATTCTTCATGACTAAGAAGTGTGTTTCTGGACGTCAATACGGTATTCGCCACGCTTATCATTTTCTCACAGAAAGATTTAGCAGGTAGACCTCCCAGCTTTCACGCTGCCATCTGTGGTATATAGCCACAGCCTCCCATCTTGGTATATATTTGTCCTATTGGCACTATCATAAGATCGGCTACATTGATCTTCGCTTCCATATTTAGTGACTCGCTCTCTTGAAACTCTTATGTCAATCTCACTCACTCAAAAATTTCCCGAACGTTTTATGTACCTTTCACGCTTCAACATCAAGCTCTTTTCTCCATCGTGCTTCCCTGTCCCATTTAGTTTTCAAAAGCACAGGTTCATCGCCATCGGAAACATTGTATAGTTCAAATCCATCATCCGAATCTACACTACACACGGCAGTAGGTGCAACGGACACTGGTACTCTTTCTTCTCCATCGCCAACTGCTGCCTTTAACCCACACTCTCTGCCATTCATACCATGTTCCACATATGCCGCTGGTTCATCGCCATAGGAAACATTGTATAGTTAAAATCCATCATCCGAATCTACACTACTCGCGGCAGTATGTTTAACGGACACTGGTACTCTTTCTTCTCCATCGCCAACGGCTGCCTTTAACTCACACTCTCTGCCGTTCATACCATGTTACATATATGCCGCTATGTATAACTCCATTAATTCTGGAATAAGAGCCTTTGCAACATCTGTTCGTACAGTTCTCACGTCAAGCATCATGAAGCATTTCTCTATATCAAAGATTTTGAGCACTGCACCGGTACACATGAAACTGCGGTCGACCGATGCAGCTTTTGTAATTCTGGCTGACAAGGGAATTCGTCAGGCAACCCATCTACACCATTCTCACAGAAACGTCCGATAAATTCACGCAGTGCCCTCTTCTTACACTCTTGACCCACCTCGGTAAACACCGGTGCACTCAGTCTACTGATTTTGCTGCCGTTGGTTGTAATCGCTTCCATGTCTATCATGTCTACCATAGTGTCCATGAACAGTGTGCAGTATGAATGGTTCATAGCCGTTAACTCCCGCTCAAACTGCACGGTCAGAGTCAGATAAATTGTAATGTTAAGTACTACTTCAATATCGCATGCCCTGCTTGGCCTTTTCAGCAGTCAAGTCCTAATCCTTCAGTAAACCAACACAACCTCTTTCCTGTATGATTCAATTAAAATATACCAGAAGAGCTTGCCAGGATACTACAACGCACCGCACTTACATATGCGAAGACGCTACCCGTGTACTGTTGTGGTTGACTCTGGGCACAATGCTTGGGCATTTTATTCCGCTTGTACCATCTGCTATGCATTCGCGGTGAGCACTCTTTGAGGAGTGCACAGCTATCTTCTTGAAGTCACTCATACTACATTGCCCCAAAGGGAACGGATTCAACACCACTATATCCTTGGAGCGTGCTATATCCCCAACCGCTGATTATCCGACTTTATCTTTATCGCTAACGTCAAAATCTGTCTCTTTCGCAACGCCCAGTGCCTCTCCGTCTTGTATCATACCGACAGCTACATACTGCTTTCAAATCCACACCTAGCATATCTCTAATCACTTTCTGTATACACTCAAGCTCCACAGTCACTGTTCCAGACTCCTTTCTAACAAAGCCAAGTGCAAGCACCGCATTTGTGCTGAAGTCATGTGCTATCCATTGTAAACTGATTGCCAGATACTTTTTCTTATTTTTAGGTGTGCTACCGTCGTGGATAATCTGTGCGAACCCGTTGCCTTTGGCTCTAGCCATTAGCAGTCAATTATCTTTGTGTGGAGAAATCCGACCAGTAGGTTATATGTGATATCGACGTAGCCAACCATTGACTTATAATTCAATGTTGCCGGTTTGGCCTTGTGTCGCACCTGTTCAGGCAATTGCATTATGAAGTAAAAAAATGGACATGTCATCGCATTCTTACTGGACGTGCTGGTGCTGAAAATCAGACGCATTGCTAGGCCGAAGGCGCTTTGCTCCAGATAAGAGATTGAAGCGAAATGACCTATTCCGTAAGCCCTTGTCACCTTCAGTCTCTTCTGCTTTAACTCGGACGCTGCTTCTGCCGGTATATGCATTCTATACTCAGGATGGCAAGTATTGACATGTTTTATTATCCACTCAGTCTGCGTTTTACTTTGATTTTGATTTTGATTTTGATTTTTGTGTTAGTACTGTTATCACAAGATTACACGCTCCATCTGGATATGTGACGGAATTTGTCTCTATATATGGCGCAAATACATGTGTTCCGGGCTCAAATTTTGGGGGTCCCGCTTTCATCTCTTAGAATGCTTCATACGCATCACTCGTCAACCCTTTTTTGTTACCATTATCAGGTAATCATCACCATAATCAGTATGCGGATCACATACTTGCTTCTGTCGTTCTGTTATAAAAGTCTCAGCTCGCTTTTGTGGAATAAAATCTCTCCAACTTACTGGCGAGGCCGCTTCACTAGTTGAATCTGATTGACCTGTTGACTAGATGGTTGCTGATGTTGCGTTGAATGTTGTTCTGGCTTGTCTGGACACGGAAGCAGGTGTAGCTCTAAATCTATGCCGCGTAGGCGCAAATGTGGCTCTTAATGCTACTACCGGAGTCGAGTTTGGAGTCGGGAGGGCTCCAGTGCGACTACTACTACTAATACGTGTACCAGGTAGTGTGATCTGATGTTGAGCCTTTTTGCTTGCATCACTTATCCCTGTAAATGCTAACTTCGCACATTTCCTATTGTCGATCTTAGTACTTTTTTTTACATGATCAACGGCTGCAGTCTGGGGTAATATACGACTACAATTAGAAAACATTTCGACTCCGAATCGTCTATTGTTGGGATTCGCTGTCACAATTTCCCCAGTTGCGATAGATAGTAGCTCTCCGAAACTCAAACACCGGGGGTTCTAAACTCAAAAGCAAAGCCTATCGTGTTTTCTTCTTTCTTCCAATCACATTCTTTCTAGAAACTGCAATGTGTACATTGTGTTGTGGCATAACTGGTCTCATAGTCGCTTGCGAACTAGCGAATGTGGCATCAGCTGTGGGTTGTGAAGTATGTGCATATTTTTATGTAACGTTTGATGCATCTGTGGGATATGTTGCAACGATGAGACGTGTTGCATAGGTATGCCAAAACCCTGTGCACTATGATAGAGTATCCGTCTGAATAGATATGTGCGTTCGGATTATTTTGCATCTGTATCATATGAGCTGGCTCCTGCAAAAATGCATATTTAATGCTACATTCCATCATCAAAAGTATGACTTCCAATATGGGTTCCTTGCGACGGAGCTCGCGTGAATGTCATAGCATGTCTTGCTGGCCAGAGCCTAACAATTGACCTACTGCGTTTTCCTCGACATCGTTATCCTGTTCGCAATTAATAACTGAATTAACATTGAAACCACTACGCTCACTGGTCTCACCGTCTCTTTCACTGCCCGATTCATTGGCATCCGAGAATGCTGTCTCAGCCTCTGACAACAGTACGATCACGTTCCGTCCTATAGTTGTCCCCGTTGCCTATCTTAACTACGTTACCGATACCATTTGCTGCACGAAGCCTTACGATGTTCCTTCTAACTACTCTACGACTACTGTCCGCCCCATCGTCACTTATTCCGACTACGTTTGCTGCACCAAGGTATATATTGCTCAGCCCAACTACACTTTGAGTACTTTTCTCCCCATCGTAGTCACCGTTGTTTATTCCGACTATTGAGTTGATTAAGTTGGTTGAATTGTCGATATCGTCGACAACCAATCCGTCGTTGACGCTATCATCAAGAACCAATTGTTTGATGGAAGCATCATGTGATTGAATGTTTGGTTCAACCACGTGATCCTTCTCATTGATTGCGTTTTCAACCATTTTGATTAATGCTAATAAATACTAACGTTTTATTCAATCACTGATATTTTAGAACCTTGTAAATAGCTCAGAAACTTCATTCATACACGATGTATCCAAAGTTCTAAACTTATATTTATTAACTATTTCAGCTAGCTTCAAAAAGCAAATAAGGATGACCTTGATGTTTAGACCTAAGTTTCTAGACCGTGGTCTGGTGCGGCATTGGCTTACCCCCATCCTCGCTTCTCGACCGGATTATGACGGATAACCTGGTCCTTCTCGGTATTTCGTACTCTGCACTAACCCATTCCGCGGCACTACACGGCGCAGACCCGATCCGTACCACAGAGGTGGGTACTCTACTTAGTAGGTCAGCAAGCGAATATATGGAACATTCGATAGTAACAGTAC